TGGCAGAGGAGCAGGGGATAATTTGAAAATAACCTGTTGAGCTGAATTTGTCTCTCATATTACGGTGTTCACCTTTGTTTGCATTGCAACACTTCTCGTCCTAGATAGAAATCTGCAGCTGTAACCAATCTAATCTTATCTCAACTTTTTATTTTTGCAATTTCTATTTTTTGCAACATTCTAAGACTGGACGAGTTTGACAGCGCTCAGCATGTTTCTGCAAAATTACATTGCAGGTTATGAGTACTCTTGCATCAAAACACATGCTCTGTGTGTGTGTGTGTATTCCTGTTTTTATCATTACTCATCCACATGCCCCATTAACAACTGTGCCTCATTAAACTCCAAGCATCTCATTAAAGAGTTACATCATATCATGCAAATTCACAGCATGAACACCTATGCATGTTTAATCATAACATGTCCCATGGAGTTTAAGTGTGCAGCTTATCTCCAGTGCTCCAGTGCTGCAAGAGGTTCATACTGAGGCCTGATTTAAATGGGACATGGCCAAACTTACCCCATAGGACTTAAGACTTACCCAACATCTCATTTAAACTGAGCTCTTGCTTGATCAAAACAATTGCAAATCCTTAGTTAACACACCTGAGGTCTGTAGCCTAGGAGATTGTTGTGCTAGCATGCTAATCAAACATGTAGCACCTTTGTACAGGTAGCATAGATAATGCCAATTCCTGTGGATGCGTTCTCCTAGCTCATCAACATCATGTTTAAATTGGGACTACCTGCCATCAGATCATCCACCCAAACATGGCTTGCTGATGAGAACTCTGATCACCTACAACAATCTGGATAAGGTATAGAAAATGTGACAAAATTACCTGTACAAAAGAAGGGACATATTTTAAGATATTTGATCCATGAAATGTAAAATCTAAGATGAGGATCATTGCTTCTCTGTGGTGTAGTGGTTAGACTGTCACTCTAGGATCTGGGAGAACACAGGTCTGGATCTCCACGGCTACAGAGGTCTGCTGGGTAATCTGGGGACAGTCACACAGGGTTGTTGTGAGGATAAAATGGAGGGGAGAATAATTTAAGCTGCTTTAGATCCCTATTGGGAAGAAAGGTGGGTTTTAAAGTAAATAAAATTTTGAGATCTGAAATATTTAGATAAAAACTAGGAATTTATATTATAGAAGTGCTCATTTAAGGCACTTCCTATTCATGAGAGCATAAATAACTATTTCCACAGAATAATTTAAGTAAGTCTCAGGATTAACACAGTGCCTTTTAAGATCAATGCATCTCTTATATTTTCCCTATTAGTAGTAGTAGTAGGAGAGATTGGATTTATATCCCGCCCTTTACTCAGTTTCAGAGCAGCTGACAAACTCCTTTCCCTTCCCCTCCCCACTACAGACACCCTGTGAGGTAAGTGGGGCTGGGAGAGCTCTGAGAGAACAGTAGTTGAGAGAACAGCTCTGACAGAACTATGGCTTGCCCAGCAGCTGCAAGTGGAGGAGTGGGGAATCAAACTCGGTTCTCTCAGATCAGAGTCCGTGCAATTAATCACTAAACTAAATTGGGAAGAGCACCAGAAATGTATGGCATTTTTGCCATATGTTCTTTATTTACAATATAAAGAGTTGAGGCAAAGAGGCATTACTACAGGGCTGTTGAGCTGCTACCACACATCAGACCCCCCCCAGAGACAGAGAGACGCCCCATGAAGGTGTATCTGTCAAACCCCACCATCTGCATGCTTCAGTCTCACTCTTTCTGTCAGAATCTAAAACTGTTCTTCAAACACAGACACATATATCTTCCCTCCCTTCAACTGAGACAGGCCATTTCTTCCAGCCTTGCTGCTTAGATGTGGTCATTTCCTAAAAATTAAGTCCTGTTCAGAGACATTAAAAAACATTACCACTCTTAACTCATTAGCTCTGATGCATGCCCCTTTAGGCTACACTGTAGTTTAAACCCACAATACTGTGCTCTAAAAACTGTTACTCTTAGTAGCCTTAAGATTATTCCAGAGTTTATTTTTTAGATTTAGACTGTGAAACAGGAATGGTTATTTCCCAAACTTTTTATTTCTGTGTATCACATAAATACATAACATATCAAAAAGGGTCAAAGCATTGTGAATGTATTACAATGAAAAGGAAAATCAAATAACGATATGAAATCAAGTTTTCAAGACAGCTTAATTCATTCAGGAACCTGCCTAATTCTCTTAGCAATCTACTGGTTCAAGCCAGACATACTAAAAATTATGATACTGGCCTTCAAGACCTGAAATTCTGTACAAAAATATAGTCTTTGTGCTAACGCACAAAAACTTAAAAGACCTCTCTATAGTAGTGTCCATCTTCAGCCCTGCAAGCAGCGCAATCATATAGTCCTTAATCATGTGTCCTAAAGATTTTTTTAAAAGCAACACAATTTAAATGCACAACAGAAAATATAATATACTGATCCAAAATTAACCCCACTCCCAGTATTATGCAATGTAGTCACCACATGGCTTCTGCTTGTCTAAGGGTGGCATGTTATTCTTGAAGAATAGCCTCCCATGCTAAATTTATTTTAACAGAAACGAGAATTTCAGCACACATGGGGCCTGCCATTCAAATGAAAAAAAGTTTTTAAAACCGTATGGGACCTACTCGATGTTCTGAACAACAATTAAGGTTTTGGAACCAAGCATATATGACCTAAAACATTAGAAAGAGCTTTAAAAAAAAAAAAAGTTACGAACATTAGAAAGAACTGTTCTGAAAAATAAGCCAGCAATAGACTATTAACGAGACTATAATATAAGGCAAAAGCTTTAGATGACGAACTGCAACAGACTGAAGAGCTCTATGAACCTTCACAATAGAGCTGGCCCAGAGGTAATGTATCCTATTCCTTAAACACTATTAAAATAATTCATAAATGTAAATCACAATATCCTTCCCTGTTAGTGTACAGCTTCCTTCCTTAACTGTAGCTTAGTGTTATGGCAGCATCTCTGTTAACCAATATTAACATTAGTCTAAGATTAAATGTGGTGAGTCTGCCAGGTAGTAAAACTGAAAAAATCAACTTATTTCTTTAATAACCATTAATTTAGTTACTATACAATAGAATCCTAAAAGAAATGTTTACAGGTCCTACTACATTCAAATGAATCTTCCTTCCTGGTTATGTATTTTTATGAGACTCAGAATATAAATATATAATGAATAGTAAATGGTGTTAAAATAGCGCATGAGTTAGGCACACTGTGGGTAGTTATTTAAAGCTCCTCTGCAGTTAAGGATGATGCATTTTAACAACCATCTGTCCAATAAATCTGACTTATCAGGGAGCACATTTATGATGACATGGTATTGACACACGATAACTATTACCCAGTTCTTAAAATGGTAATAAAACACATCCATAAGCTTACGGTCATCACAGAAAAGGCTAATACCTCTATCTGTGCTAAAGCAAAGGGGCATTAACAAAGAGAATTAAAATAGTTTCCGAGTGTCACGCAATAAAATGAAAAACAATAGTAAACCATCATCCACTGACACAAAGAGCAGGACTATTTTTATAGTTCAGAACAATATTTAGCAGCTACCATAATGGAGAGTTGTGTTATGTTGTTCTTTTATTAGTACTCTGTATCTTCAGAGTCAGTTCACGAAATCATTTTGGGGCTTTTAAAAATCTGGACATTTCTGGCATGTCGAAAACCAGCCATATATGAAAGCCACAATGAACCGCTGTGTGGGGAGTCCATGAGCTGTGTTAATAAAGAGGTCAGCACATGAGTTAATGATTTGCTCATAGAAGACAACTAATACCACTTGTTTTACCTATTTATAGTAGTAAAAAAAAATTGCATTGGGGGGAACAGAGAGGCAGACCATGATGCTCTGACAGAGATTAACTGGTCAAATGAGTATCATAGTGGCCTAACTCACAGAGTTTTGTGAAGGACTGTAAAGGGCTCATAATGGAAGTAACCATCATCACTTCCTAAAAAACACAACTAATTGGTTTTCAAAGGCTAAGCATTAATAATTCACTAGATCTCAATCTGGAGAGTTCTTTGCTGTTGTGAAATTGCTTTCACAATTGCTGGAACTGTAGTTCTTAAGTAACTGGAAGTTTTCTACATTTATTTTTTTAATATGTGGCAGAACACCACATGGGCCTGATTGCTCCAACATACAGTTGCTGCCTGCATGTGCTTTGCAGATTCCACTCTCAGCTTGTACAATGGCACGTGGTATATGAGCATACTTAAAATCCTTCTACCCTACTCCCCGAAAGTAGATTGTCAGAATTTGCAGCACTGATTATTCTTGCACTGAACCCACATTTTAATCCAAGAAAAGGATCCACGGTCTAAATTCCTGGATGCACAAATCCAGCAACATATGCAACAGTTTTTGCATGCACAATTCATAAGTAAGCAAGCCACCACAGCTTACTTGTTGAATAGGGCCAAATTACAAATAAATTTACTGTGTAAGGCCTAAATATTCTCCATATCATAAACACACCATTCATTTTATCATGAAATAATGGTTCCAAAAATTTCTGCAGCTAGAGATCTCATAGCAGAAGACGTAAGGGACTGGGAAAACAGAAGCATAAGCATTTAACAAATAGCCACAATAGAAGTATACTAAGCAACAATAAGGTAATTTTTGTATTTAATTAACTAAAGCTAACCGGTGCTTAAAATAAACTTTCTATTCTTCTGAATTATGATCACAGAACGACTGTCCAATTCCAGAATTCCTCATAACTCAGGAATCTAATGTATACCAGTCTCCCACATGTAAAAAGTCTTCTTTGCTGACTTACCATGTAACAAGCAGCCACTATGCACACAGACCTATCCCTGACATGAAGTCAGGGGGGAAGCCTAAGCACGCATGAAGCTCAGAGTCCTAGATATTAACAATGCTAAAGTAGTGTGCTACCTATACCATTCCCAGCCTTCAAGTTCACTTTATTATCTCCCACAGAGTAGTTCATTATCTTCAGCTCATACCAGTTGTTTCTTCTATTTTGTTCACATCTGTTTCTTCACAGTACATATTCCCAGATGCTGAGTAACACGAGCTTCCAGATTTTCTGTCAGATTTTCCATCAGAATGCTGAACTGTGCAGGTGCTGGAAATGGAACAGGAGCAGTCCTGAGCAGTACAAGTTCGGCAATATGAACATACATCAATAACTGGTGCTTGAGGATCTGAATCTTTTTTACTTTCATTGATCTTAGTAACAAGCTGCGCTTCAGGAAGTTTATTTCCTTCATTCTGCCGTAAACTATCTTCTTTCTCTTCCAAAGCGCGAGCAAGCATATAACTAACTTTCCTTTGATGAGCCAAAGCCTCTTCTGTATCATTCAACTGTATAGTCAAATAAAATAAAATTAGGTGGGGAAAAACTATATTAGAGATGAAGTATTCCACACAGAAAATTTATAAATATCTGACTAGAGATAATAAACATTAGTATGGAGATTCATAAAGGGGATACCAACCAAATCTATTAGCAGCCTGATGATTTCCTGAGGATTATCCTCCATTTTCTTACTATCAGTGGCAGAAGGAATCATGCTTCTTAATTTTTGTCCTAAGCTTTTCTTGCTCCTTCGAAACATGAACATATCTAAGGATGGAAAATAAGATATATGTTTCAGCCCTGGTATTTGTAACTTTGTAATTAGATAACCAGAGATGTAATGCCACAATTTTTAAAAAATTGAATAAAGTTAAGCATAGAACAAACAATCCTACTGCAAAGATAAGACTGATATAAATTACTCATCTGTTTTTTATCTTATGGCAAAGGCAACTAATAGTGTGCATTGTAATATAATTAAAAAAATAATTTTGATTTGGGTGATTCCTTTTTTTTTTTTTAAAGTTTTTATTGGCATATAACATATAAAATACCTCCACCATAACACAACCGGACCCCCTCCCCCTCCCTGTCATAAAATTGATCCTGTAACAAAGATAAGTTTGGTATTACAAAATTCGAAGTATAGCTACATCAATACAATTAAGATAGCGTATTTTTAACTTTTTAACTTATTTGTAACTTTGTAATTAGATAACCAGAGATGTAATGCCACAATTTTTAAAAAATTGAATAAAGTTAAGCATAGAACAAACAATCCTACAAAGATAAGACTGATATAAATTACTCATCTGTTTTTTATCTTATGGCAAAGGCAACTAATAGTGTGCATTGTAATATAATTAAAAAAATAATTTTGATTTGGGTGATTCCTGACAATGTTAATTTCGAAAGTTCTAATCCATGGGGGGGGGGGTTCTAAAGAAATAGTGTAAAAATTCTAAGACTGATATAAATTACTCATCTGTTTTTTATCTTATGGCAAAGGCAACTAATAGTGTGCATTGTAATATAATTAAAAAAATAATTTTGATTTGGGTGATTCCTGACAATGTTAATTTCGAAAGTTCTAATCCATGGGGGGGGGGGGCCTCAAAGGATAGGGCAAAAGATTTTACAATTAAGAAGCAGTTAAGCAAAAAACTAGGGACACTTAGTGATGACGATAAGACATTTAAGGCTTCTGCAGGAGAGAACACACATCATCATTTAAAAATACCTCGCATATTCTATTACCGTTTGCACCCAATGTAGATTATTTACAATTTTAAGAAAACATCTAGTGGTTGATCAGTTTTCCTTAATGAGCTGAATACTAGTCTTAAAACTTTCCCCCCGTCACAGGGGTTCCCAGTTTTCTCAAGCCTGCGGGCACCTTCGGAATTCTGACATGGCAGTGGGCACAACCACAAATGTCAGGGAGTGAAGTTTTGCATAACTAAGTAACTCTTCCACATTCCAGGCAGAATCTTTGTTTAACAGGATGTTTTTAAAATGAACATAGTTTAAAAATATTGTCTTGTATACACACAGTAACAGAGTGAAGATTCTAGTGCTGTGGTGGCAGCTGTTGCTGAAGCAACATTTAAAATCTGTGCACAGCCAATCACACCTCCCAATGGCCCTGCTGGGCAGAAGCCCCACCTGGCCCCACCCACTTTCTAAAAAAACACCTGGCAGGTGCCAGGAAAGGTATCAGCGGGCATCATGGCACCCATGGGCATCACATTTGGAACCCCTGCCCTGTCAAAAAATACCACATATAAATTGTACATTTATTTATGTGGGATTAGTGCTTCCTACTGTGCTTTATTTATGTGGGATTAGTGCTTCCTACTGTGCTTTAATTTAATCAGGTGTCAAAGATTGCAGTTCAGCACGTTTAATTATGCTTTTTTCACATGGAGATATCCATATGTAACTTTCTACAATTATTTCCATGCACATAATTTTTTCCCCAGCAAATGAATAAATTTGGCTGAAAAGATCCATGGGCTTCAAGCGAAACAGCTTCACCATGATTACAAAGTGATGCCAGGTTATGTCTAAAAAGCAAATACTGCCCTGTACTGGATAGCCCAGGCAAGCCCGATCTCATCAGATCTCAGAAGCTAAGCAGGGCCGACCCTGGCAAGCACTCAGATGGGAGACGTCCAAGGAATACCAGGGCCGGGACACAGAGGCAGGCAATAATAAGCCACCTCTCTGAAATGCCCAAGCCCCACTAGGGGTTGCCAGAAGTCAACCATGACTTCCAGGCACACACACAAAAAATACTCACCAAAAAAAAAAAAGCAAATACAATTTCAAATCTATGTCAACGAATTCATCAGGAACAGGTTCATCCTCTCTGCTCCACTTGTTCAATTCACCAAGTTACTTGGATGGTTTTAACACTCTCTCAACATTGATTTATTTTCATAGCTCAGGCTTTCTTGAGCCAACTCACTTTAGTGACTGACTCCATTGCTGTATGCCTGTTACTTATACTTTAGCCTCGAATTTAAAGCCCTGTGTGGCCTAGGACCAGCATACCTTCGGGACCATCTCTCCCCATATATGCCCCGGAGAGCCTTGCGCTCCACAGATCAACATCTACCGCTAGTCCCTGGCCCAAAAGATGTCCGCTTCGTCTCAGTCAGGGCCAGGGCCTTTTCTGCCCTGTCCTTGGCCTGGTGGAACACATTCCCAATTGAGATCAGGGCCCTCTGGGACCTGTTAAAAGTTCTGCAGGACCTGCAAAATGGAGCTGTTCCACCAGGGCACTGGTTGAAGCCGTGGATGTTTCTATCACCTTGGCCTCCCCTGCCCATAGTAAGCCTATAGCTGCCTACTATCCTGCTACTGTCTAACAGGAGGCATATTGGACTGCTCTGGAGTAATGTATGTTTCTTAGCTGCCATCCTGTTTTATTTAACTGGATTTTAATTATATAGTAATTGTATTTTATTCATTTTGTGAGTCACCCTGGGCCCACTGTGGAATAGGGTAGGATATAAGTGTAATAAATAATAAATAAATACATTTATCTCTATGTAATGTAGCTGGGGTAGGCACAGGACTGGTTCAAACCTACATCTGCATCACATTTTTGTTACATGTGATTATTAGTCACACGTGAATGTGTGAAAACTCCACTGAGTATTATTGTGATCTAAGGAATCATTAAAAGTTCTCTTTCTTGCTAGAGCTGTGATGGTCTAAGTCATGCATCAGTCATCACTAGATGCTACAGAAATCTAATGATGAAGATGTATGCATGAACCAACAAGTACTCTGGGCAGGGGCTGGCACTATGTTGTTCTGTGCAGTATGCAGGAGACAGTCAACATTAAAGATACATTAATTAGTAGGATCTACTATAAATTGTTCAGCTCAGTAAGCAAGTTATGCCAAATAATTTTCTGTGACACAAAATAAAATCAATGTTACTTCCAATTCCACTGAAAATCATGTTGCATGGAGAAAATTACCATCCTCCTTCATGCTTTTCCAGTTTAATAATTTTGTTTCTTTTTTGCAGACATTATTCACTTGTGTCAGTCTCAGAGCCTGGTCCTTCCTCCGCATCAGCTGCTGCTCAAATGCAATTCTGAAGGCATCTGCCATTATGTAAGCTTCTTCTTTACTTTTTTTCAGAAGTTCAAACTGTTCAGCAAGAAAACATTTAGGTAGGGTTTTTTTTTTTTTTTTAAAAGGGAAAAAACAGGATGAAATCCACGATTTATTTTTTAAGAGTTCTCTGCCAAGTGTCCGCTGCCTCATCTAAATAAGACTTTACAAACAGGTCTCTTGTGGGAACCATAAAATTAACACTATGGTGACCAGCAAAGGAAGTCAGTAACACATTCCGCCATAGGAATAACTATTTAAAAAGCCACTTGCAGCAACACAGGCACAGAATGCACCTCTTTCACAATTGTGCTGAGTTGTGTTTCGGCTTTGGCATTATGGGTTAAGAAAGGTGCTGTAGCCACTGACACATCAACCGCACCTTGTGGTGGGGCAACCAAGTAGAGAAGGGATGCAAGTCACTTTTTCTTTGTGGAGCAGGAAGCAAGAAAGCACAGGCTCACTGGCTACTAGAAAAAAAGCACTGGCTATCATACCCATACGGAATTTTCAGACCTCACATCTCAAGGCCTCTGTTTTACTGAATACAACAGAAGCTCAGGCCATATGGATGTATATTTCACAATTAGCGTGAAAGAACAGATATAAAAAAGGATGCTAGATGAAGAAGTATTACTTATATTAAGTCTTCATAGTACAGCCTTGTCTAAAAGGTCAAAGTTTAAAATATTCTTCTTTACATGGCCTTGATATTATTTATATTCACATTCTAGTAGTAAACTATCAATCAGCACAGAAAGTAGTCAAACCACTGTATTTTTAAGACAGTGACATTTAAACTGACTCTTCACATGGCTGATATTTCCCACACTTTTGCAAATAAACGTACATATTAAGACTATTTTAAACCTGAGTCAAAATACCTCTTGTTTGAGCTGAAGAAGTTGTTTTCGAGTTGCTGCTGACATTTTGGCACAGGAGCATGGGTCTCCTCCTGGATCACTGCAAGTACAGGCTCCAAGTACTGCTAGCTGCGAATTAAAACATATTCTGTGAGTAAACCTAGCTCTTTGAAAAATAATTACATTGCAATCTTAACTAAATGGATTTCCCCCAAAATTATTAGCTGCTGCTATGAATAAGGCAATATAAATTCCATTGGTATTAATTTTTTCATTTCCACCTCAAAAGAAGGCAGCTCTGAGTAGAGAAGGTGATGGGGTTTTACAGTTTTTAGGGGACACTGCAGTGAGCAGGAGTAATGAGTAGCTCAACTACCACAGGATGGGAAACAATATAGCAGCAAACATCAATGTGGGGAGGGAGAGCCGCAGGTGCTGTCTTATCTTCTCCCTGTACCACTGGTAGAAAACAAGCAATGGGCAGTGATGGACCTATCTCCCCTATACCCATCACAGCAGCCCAGATATGTAGAAGCCTGAGCTCACCTTTTAAAGATGTGATATTTACAAGCTGTGTATTCCATTTTCTATGATAAAATATATGCCTGGATGGATAATGTCTGGAAATTCTCAGCTCCCTGGCAGTGGCATCAGCCTTGGAGCTCCTTGTATAACACAATAGCTTAGCTAAGCTTGAGGATGTGAGAGATTCTTACAAACCATTTATTAAAACATGCAACATCAGTTAACCCTTAAACCTAGAATCTTCACAATACACTACATGTAACTTGTTCTATCAAAATTAATCGCAAAACAAATCAGCGAGTCCCTGAAGGATCTGGCAGTTTCTCTGTTCTTTCCTGTACAGACTAGTAGGACTGTTCTTCCATAATTAATCAGAAACAGATAAAAGAAACAAACAAGACAGCTTTTAAACACTTACTTCAAGGCCTGTAATTTCTGTGAAGCCACTCTTACTAAGAGACATGTTCTCCTGAACAATCTTCTGCTGCTTTACATCAAGCATTGCAAGCAATTCCAAGCGCTGTTGATCCAAAACTGTAAAATTCAATATTGTAAAGTCTGTGCTGCTTTCTGATAACATTTTCTGTTTGCAGACCTCAGTTCACACTGTTTTTGAATTTTAAAAGGGGGTTGATTTCTTCAGTACACCTGAAACAAAAGTCCTTCGGCCCAAAGTAGACAACAATACACTTTTGTCACAAGTCACCAGACTCTGATCCTCTTAGCCAGACAAGCAGCTGCTGGGAACTAACTTTCTAGGTGCTCCTGGGCTAGGGTTGCCAAGCTCCAAGTTGCACCTGGAGATCTCCTGCTATTACAATGGATCTCCAGATGACCAAGATCAGTTCCCCTGGAGAAAAGTGCTGCTTTAGAGGGTGGAAGTATTATACCCCACTGAGCCCAAACCCCACCTTCTCCAAGCGCTACCACCAAAACCTCCACGCATTTCCCAACCCAGAGCTGGCATCCCTACCCTGGGCCCAGTTCAGATGGGAAGCACAGCATGGAGCGATGGGGGAGAGATGGGGTAGGGGCTTCAGCTCCCCCCTACCCACTGTTTGCCTGTCCCAAAATGGCCCAGGAAATGTTATTCACCCCACTGGATGGATGGCCGCACATGCAACATCATCTGAATTGCCCCTTAGTTATACTACACTGAGAATGGTCCAGGTCCAAGTTATAGCTAGAAGTTATATCTTCTAACCTAGAGGTTATATCTTCTAACTTGAAAGCCTTCCTACTCTCATGTTTGTTGAGCTGGTTGGGGCTTTTCCTCTTTTAGATATGATCACACAAGTCCTTGCTTCCTTCTGGCTTTTGTTCAAGGCTTTAGGCCAACAACCACACCATTTATTCCCCTCAGTTGTACATCCTATTTTACAAGTGTAGTCTCCTGCCACCAGGACACTTCTTGAGGCATGCCCTAGTACCAGGGCAGTGAGGTTGCCCCCTGAAACATAAGTGTGTTGACTAGCCCAGTTATATAACCTACTTTCCATTGGGCATCTTTGGTTTTCCTCTTTAAAACAAAACCTGTAGCTGTCTTTATACTCCTGAGAGGCTCACCTTCCCTTTCCCCAAGGGTTAATCTCCAAAAACAATTTCAGCAGAATTGCCTAAGGACATACTATTCTTCCCTTCCTATTAGGCAGGATACCCAAAGAGGCTAGGTCATTTCAGAACTTTCTCCAACCAGATAGAATCACAGAGTTGGAAGGGTCCATACAGACCATCTAGTCCAACCCCCTGCCCAATGCAGGACCAGCCTACTCTTCAAAGGCACTCTTATTTTCCTTTTATTCCACTTGCTAAGTTCTCCCATTGGAAGCAAGTTCCTGAAGTAAGATTTGGCAAAAAATAAGCCCTTCCCAGTAATGTTATCTCTCATGGCAACTAGGTCCACAGCATGCTATTCAAATGAACATGTTTATAGACTCCTGTTCTATAAATATACTGTGCCTAAACCTTAGTTCCACATTCTCACCAATACTTCTGTTATGCTTTGTTACAATAAGGAAAGTCACTTATCAGTGTTTGGTTCAAAAATCATGGTTAAAGTTTCATGATCAATAACAGGTTTTTTTCTATGGGCAGGGGTCATTTCGTAGAAAAAGAGCTAGGGGAACTCATTAGCATAACTCATTAGCATATGCCACACCCCCTGACATTTCCGGAAGTATGTCATAAGGCCACACACCCCGCCCCCAACAGTCCCGGCCGCCACCGCCGGCCTTGCAGCTCCACTGCCAAGCCCCATGAGGGGCCCGGCGGTGGACCTGCAAGGCCGGCGGGAGTGCAAGGAAGCCCTGCGAAGGCCCTCCCTGGCCCCAGGCAGGCAGGGGTGGGGAGAGGCAGGGAGGAAGCAACTTACCCTCCCTCTTCTCCTGCCTCCTCCTGGCTGAATGAGGGCTGGAAGCGGGGCGGCCGGAAGCAGGGGGCGGGGCTTCGTCATGTGCCCCAGCCCCCCGTACCTCACCCGGGGGAACTGTGTTCCCCCACGTTCCCCCCCGAAATGACCTCTGTCTATGAGTAAGAAGTGATATGCTGTTCATGTATATGCAACATACAAATACTTCTCAAAGAGTACAAGCATTAAGCTTATAACATTAGAAGAAGAGTTTCAGATCCTAGCAACCGTAGACCCTCTAAGCTTTCACAGTTAACAAAGCTCACATGTTTCTGCTGGCCTTGATAGCTAGACAAAATATGAGCTTGTCATCTAATCCTCTGAGACTCAGAGTACTGCAGATGTAAACCTACAACTTCTCATCCACCTCAGATATGATTTTTTAAGATTCTCCAAGATCCCCACATACACACACACTGTCCAAGATTGGAAAGATTTGTAGAACCTGAAAACGAACATCACATTACATTTTAAGACTAGGACATTCTGGATTGCATCCCATGGCTATAAAGTAAATTAAATAAATTAATAAATGCTAAACAGTACAAGTGCTTTACCTAAGCACTAGTGCATATGTCATATAAGTATACTATGGATTTCTAAGAACTATTTTGTGGAGGCATGTATAACAGAGGAGGGGACTAAGCCAGGAAATATGTGCCATCAGCTTTTGAAAAGGTTACCAATGGCTTGAGTGAGTCCAGTTGTAGCAGGTCTCCTTCCCAAGTGTTATAAAATATTACTTAAATACATTTGAGAGCACTGTCAGAAAAGTGACATATAGATACAGTAAGTATGAAAAACTCATTTATTCATGAGTGACAACAGTTAGGCAAGTGAGAAGCAGAGGAGGTTTGCTACTGCCTCCTCTATAGAGTCTTCCTTGATTGTCCCCCATCCAAGTCCTGTCCTGACCCTGGCTTAGCTTCCATGATTTGACAAGATCAGGCAGTACTATACCATTCTGCATCCACAGGGTGTAACCAAAATGCTTCACATCAAGTCAGTGACACAAACCTCAGCCCAATCCTTTCATGGAGCTGCAGTACCTCTGTGCAAGGGCATCAGATGACATGTGGCATGGAATTTATGTCCAGGTCCCTAGCTCTTTACTGATGGTTTTGCCTAAGCAGAAGGCAGAACCAAAGAGCTCTAATCTATTTGCCAGGCACATGATCCTGATGTAGGTATACAAACTAGTCTTTGAACTTCTGTAAGATGAATTATACTTAAAAAAAGAAGTAAACAAAGCTCACTTACATGCATTGTCAGATTTCAGTGTTTTAACTTCCTCACTTTTCAATTTAAGTGTTTCCTTAAGTGCAGCATTTTCACAATATATTCTGAATGAAATGGAAATGAATGGCAATGAACAGGGGGGGAAATTAAGCATGCTTCAAACATGAGTCTTGCATAGACAGTTTGTTAAAAAGAGAGATTGTTTCAGTGAACACATACATACCTATCATATTTTTCTGCCCAGGTCTCCTCTACATTTTTAAATCTCTCCTGATTAATTTTGATTTCCCACTGCAGAACATTGATTTCCTATTAAAAATAAAATCATTAAGACATAATGAACCATGGTTTGTTCATGATAAAAATGAAACTCTGAAATCCTCACGCTCAAGCACTTTTCCCCCTCTTCTTCCATATAGTTCATCACAATGTTCCAACTGGACAAAAACAACAAACTGGTTTGTTTTTGCCTATAAACTGAGATTCGAACCCAGGGTTTAAGTATCAAGGCTACAAACCCAAAGACATCTCACTGAGCCATTCTGAAAACAGAATAATATTTCATATCCTAAACATTGTAAAAGTTAGCGAAGCATCCCATGACAAAATAATTCAATTTTATTTTCTTCAGCCATAATTCTAAACAGAAGCAGGCAAGCAGAAAGATTCTGAAAGATTCTAAAGTAGGCAGTCACCTGACTGAACAGGAACAGCTTGCCTATAGTAAACCTTTTCCAGAAACATCCTGATGCACTGTGTCCCAAGAACTATTTTATTTAGTTTATCTTAAAACATTAGGTTGGTTACTTGAGATAGTCAATGATGTAAGAATACAATATATCTAGAAGTTCAATATGTTTCAATTGAATACATCCTATGTATCCACACAACGAATCTGCCCCTTTAATTTAGAATTTTAGCATGCTGCTGATCTTGAAGACTTGTGGACAGTATCCGCTAAGTGCTCAGAAACAGAGGGACAAGAGACCTGTTCGCATGTTACAGTGACCAACATATACATGTGTACGGTTGTTTCTAAGGCCCAATGAAACTGTACATGTGTACAATGATAATTATTCAACACACATATAAAGAAAAATTAAGTACACAGTGTACACAGATTGTACATCTGTTCAATGTAACTTGTGAACAGGGCTAAGGACAGATCTTCTCATGGAACAGAAATTCTGTACCCTGAACATCTGTTGTATCAAAATCATTTAAAGGTGCTGTGATAGTAAGATGGAAACATACTATCCTGCCAGAGAGATAAAATTAGGAAATCAGCAGCTAAGAAACTTCCAAGAGCTCATAGGAAAGCCAACATTTCAAATCAGAAGTATTATTATTTATTATTATTATTGATTTAATTTATACCCCACCCTATCCCATGAGTGGGCTCAGGGCAGCTTACAACACAGCGAGTATAAGCTGAAGTTTCTGTTTCTGCAAGATTCAGAAAATATAACTGGACAAAACTATTACACCAAATTCCACATGTGATTAGTGGACATAATTAGGTAACAAACTGAAACTTTAATTAAATGTATCAGCTTTGTGAGTGCTTTACAGTTATCATCTATGCAAAGATATTTTGCTTAAGAAAGAGATGAAAAGAACATTGTTCTGAGGTTTGAGGATCATCCTCCCCTTACTGTAAGAGGCGTAGCAAGTGTTATATCTGTTAACACAAATAAAAGCCTAGGATTTCCATACAAGAAAGAATTAAGAACACAAACTAATGGACTTGCGTTTAACTCTGGATTGTGGTCCTGATGTACAGCCTTGTGTGTCACTCTTGAATGGAAAGTCAGGTACACTCTTACCTTTTCTAGAGCTCTCTTTTGTTGCTCGGTTTTCTTAAACATTGCTTTAGTATGACTAGTGGCTTTATCCAACACTGCCTGAGAAAGATATTTAACAAAAAGCAGAAATATTCCATGTCACACAGCTTTAAAAATTATATCAACCTATATATGAAGTCAGCTACAGGAAGTTACAGTCCTACATTATACCGATTATAAATATACATATGCTACATGGAATCAAAATATAATAGCAAGAAATACCACCAAGGCATTGTACATATTTAAAAGGAACAGTTTATAAATTACCTAATGGGAGATGAAAAAATAACAGAATGATAGCAATTTATGAGAGAAGAGGAAGTATTTGTCAAACGTATCTGGTATTTCTCCAAGAAATGCTGTCATCAAAAAACATAAACACAAAAGTGAATTCTCAGTTTTAATTAAGAGAAAAACTAGTTCCAAAGGATAGAAACAGTAAGTTACTGAAACATACAGCGCAATCCACCCATCCCTTTACATGCTGGTAGATGCTCTCATTATCTGAGCACCAATAAGACTCCTATTGTACCTAATAGGCAAGCACATGACAATATCAGCATTATGAGAGTATCCAACAGAAGACTGGATTACTGGCACAATCTTCCTCTTGTACCACTATACTTCTAAGACACACAACTTTTGAAAGAGGGGACAGTGTTATCCATACTGAAAGAGGCAGTCAGGAAACATCCTTAAGATAACATTTCTGCACCCAAATTACCGTAATTATTGCTGGCCCTGGACCCATTGGTTCAGAGTGTGTATATAAATGTTTTTTAAAGTTGTGATGTTTAATTTTACAGGGGATTGCAAGGATTCTGATCAAGTATCTACTTATGTTATTGATTTTTACATAGCTCCATGAAGACTGATTGAAGTTCTGTTGATATTTTATTAAGGGTCTCTCTTCGACTTGCAGATAAATGGTGTCTGCATATACAAAACCTAATTCCCATTAAATGTACTAGCCTCTTCAGCCATCCCTACTTCTAACTTTGTGTTTTACTAACAACTGGATGGGAATAAAATAAACAGAAATAAATGGAAAAGAAGCAACAGAGGAAACAAAAACTATTCGTGGAAAACTTATTCAGTATGGTGAGCTATTTCAGTTAACACACAGCTGAGAATGCTGCTTTCTCATCCTTTGCCCTCTCGTGAAAAAGAAAGGAAATGGAACATACATTTTTATGTTTGCTGTAAGGCAGCAAGACAGGTTTGAGAATTTTAGTTTTAAATATGGTTTAGCCAACTGTGCATATTGCACTGATTTTCGAACAAGTCAGCACTGAATACTAAAAATGTCTAGCATTTCTCAATGTCAGAAACCTATAACAAATTATTCACTCCTATCTGAAATCTGTAACTTTTTATGTAGCATTTTCAAATTTTATATTATGAGCTTAATGTAAATGCTAACATTGTAGTTAAAAATAAATGGATTAAAAAAAATTACCATGCTCTGTAGAATTTTTAATGCTTGCTCTTTGCCTTCCAGTTGTCTTTGAGAGGCTTCCAACTCAACACTTAAAATTTCTACTTCCTAGAAATGAAGAAATTCAAGATTGGTAAAAATATTTTTAAAACATTCTCACCCACACACACAGAATCCACATGTTTTGTCACCTTCCACTATGGAAGAAACGAAAGAAGGAAAAGATGGCCCAGGTTTAACTGGAGACTTTCATGTATAACCCATTAAACTTGTGGAGAACTGACAACTGAGGCAGTTTGGGCTCTGGGTGTTTATAAAAGCGGCAGTGAGGATGAACTGAATTCCCTGCCACAAGATCAATTCAGCACACAAGCTATCCTTAGGATCTTCCCAGACTATGTGCTTTAATGCTGGAATTAATACAACAGACTAAAAAATCACACATTTTGCTTGTCAGCATAACTACTTACAGCAGCTTTTATTTAATACAGTCCCATTAAGCCTATGATTGAAATAGTGAAGAAAAAATTATGGCATCTCAAAAAGTACATACTCCTCTCCCCCAAAAAACCTATATACAACACAAATGTTGTAAACACAATTCTGTGATCCATGTCTGCAAGATTAAAATAAAAGCCCGATGAAAACCTCAATCCACCCTACTTTTGTTGAGTATACCAGACTACAAAACCTGTATTTTGTTTATGACTTATTGATCTGTGATTATCAAATCTTTTTGGCTTCTGGGTTTCCAGTTAACAAAAGTCAAAGGCTGGGTGTCCATTTTTTTTTAATTACATGCCTACTTTTTCTCTTATTGAGAGAAATAAGATTCTGAAAGCACTTACTTCTACAGCTTCTTGAAGATGCTGCCTTAATTCATCATTTGACGCCTCAGAATTCGACTCTGTATAATTTACAACAGCAAGACCTTAGTAAAATTCTTTGGGTGCCTTTGGTTTAAAACTAATCTTACATTTCAGTACTTAGTGCGCTTTTTAAAAAAGGAACTAAAAATGAAAACTGGCTGTTTTGCAAACCTATTTTGCATATTTTTCCTCCATATTTACAAAATACTCATTTTATTTTTCATTCAATTTAGAATCCTAATTTAGGAGAAGAAATAAATTCTACTTTGTTCACATACCTACACATCATGGCACACTGGGATGCCTTGAATTCAAGACTTAACAATCTAAGAAACTTTCCATTGTGCTGAGTAAGCAAAGGGAGGTCAGCATGCAAGCAAAACGACGCATTTTCATAAAACAAAATTAAAATACATAATAATTTAAAATATCTCAAAATAAAACCATGATAATATACCTTACAATCCAATGGCTAATGACCCAGAGTGGAACAACTGGTATATGGGGTCAACCATTAGGCTGAAATGGCCTTCTAAAACTGCAAGTGGTAAAATATCTAGTTGTGCCTTACTGAAAACCTTTCTGTATTCAGAACTAATTATATTAGAAAAATATTCTAGAAAAGTTAGGGGAGAAGGAAGTAACTGACTGTAAAAGAGGGTTGTTCTCATGATGCCTACTAACTGATCCAAAATCGGTTTGAGCACTGTGTTCTAATAATCTGTTTTACTAAAAGTTTGGCTCCTCAAGTAATCTTAGAATCTAAGAGTAGCCACTAATCCAATACAAAACCATGCCATGAGTTAGCCTTCATCTCACCATATGTCTAAATCAGAAGGTGTGGAGATAGGCAAAAGATAATTTTCAGCCAACACAGTTAATGGCTGTTTTGTAAACCAGGGTTGTTACTGAGATTAGATAATTCTACTCTGACTGTACCTAAAGATGCTGAGGGAGAAGATGTCAACAGCAGGCGGGCAAACTTGTTTGGGACAGTTGGTGATTTCCAGTACCCTAAACTGCTGCTCCATATAGAAGCTGGGGTAGTAATTTCATTTTAAAAATTTCCAAAGTTGGGGAAACCAGGCAAACAAAACAAACTGCACCCATGCACATTATAAACAACAGAGATTTGTTGTGGTAGTTTAATGTAGTCCAGTCTCCTGTATTCCTTATTTCAGTATAAATTATGATTACCAACCTCAAGGCATGGAGTCCTCCCAAAATTACATCTGATCTCCATACTACAGAGATCAGTTCCCCCCAACAAAATGGCAGCTTCAGTGGCACATCCTGCTGAGCTCCCTCCCCTCCCCAAACTCCAAATTCTCCAGGCATGACTCCCAAATTTCATGGAATTTCCCAGACTGGTTGGCAATAGTATAATTAAATAGTTGAACAAAATCTAGTAGGCTTCTCCATCCCGACTTGCCCCATATTTCTTATCCTGTAGGACTCAGGACTACAAAGCTACCAAGGCTCTAATCTTGTTATGATGTTATGATTGAAGTCTCTCAGCTGCACCACAACATTTTACGTATTAAGAGTACCGTAGGGTCCCAATTCAAGGTTGCCAACTTCCAGGTGAGGCCTAGAGTTGTCCTGGAATTACAACTGTTCTCCAGGCTACAAAGATCAGTTCCCTGGGAGGAAATGGCAGCTTTGCAGGGCAGACGATGGCATCACATCCCTGCTAAGATCCCTCCCCTCCCCAGGCTCTGCCCCCAAGTCTCCAGGAATTTCCCAACCTAACTTTGGCAACCCTATCCCAACATTAAGTCTTACCAAGGCTGTTCTGTCGGCTGCAGGCTGCAAATCCATTCACTCCAGACTTTTTGACTGATATGTCATTCAAACAATTACATCTTGAGCAACGGTAAACTGCTGCATCATGTTCTTCCCCTTTGTTTGGCAGCATTAAAAAACTGACACTTTTTCTCGCTGAGCCTTTTCGGGGCCTGACTGGGTGTGCATTTAAACCTTCTAGTTCGTAAATATAATTCTGTCTTCTAACAAGTCCATTTCCCAGATCTCCACATGCCATGTCATCATCGTCACCTTCTGAAGTCTCTTCTGGATGGTTCTGTAATAAGATTGCTTCACTCATTGGCAATGCAAATAGGTTCTTGTTCTATATGGATATGCCTATTTTCCCAAAAAAGGTGTCTTGAAATAAAAGCTGTGCTGAAAAACACAGTCATAATAATTAAAAGTTAAATATGTTTTAGCATTTTCCAGCATTTCTGAGACAGCAGTAAAAACTTCATTTCACATACCTAGTTAATCTTGTGAATGAGAAACCTGGTGACAACAGTCACTTAAGTAAGACATGTTTCTTGTCCACAAGATTATTTAGAAATGTGAGACAACTATCAGCAAAATGAATTCAAAATTAACCACACATTTGTTTCAAATGAACAGAAAGTAAAATGTATTGCAAAGTAAGACTACAAGAACATACAAGTATATCAGTGCAATCTGTGCCTTGCTAGAAGAAACACACCCAGCCACAAGGTTTACTTTAAATGTAAAAAAGAAAACCATTGTTTAGATTACAATAGATCCATTAGAGAGGTTATATCAAGAACTCTGTCAAACCTATATCAGAATACTTTCTATTATTAAATAATTGTAGGATTCAGGGAAAACAAGGTTAATGTTTTGTATTACTGTGCATTACAGAAATGAATAAATTATGAATTAAAAAAAACCTAGATCAGATGCAAATCATTCACATATCATAGCTGCCCTTTCAAAGAAAATGAATATTTATAAATGTTTGATAGCAAAGAATATCAACAGAAACCATTATTTGTATTGTCTTAACATAGAAAAAAAGGTCTTGGTATGAAATATTTATATATGCAAAAATGTACCCATCAGCAACACTGAGTGGTATCACCTAACTTGCAAGTAGCAGTTTATACAAACACTGCTATCAAAAATTCATGCCATTTACAATTTGTTCACAAAAATAAATCTTAAATGGATTTTAGTGCAATCATTCACTTTATTAGTTTCAGTGTAACACTTGAGAATGCAATTCCAAAGATTATTACTACGCTCATGTATAAGTGTATTTCACACAGTTGTTCATAATAATTTAAAATACTTTATGACAGTCTTTTAAAATGGAAACACAGGCTGTCCAATTGCCATATATAAGAAACAGCTATTGTAGAGTTCTATAAGGAACATGAAATGCTTAATAGTTTTAATTAATTCAGAATCTTCAGATCTATCATTAAACCACATGTAAAGTTAAGTAACATTTGTACAAATATTGATTGTGCAGTATTTACATTTGCGCACCCTTAACAAACCATGGTCAAACATGTTAACACTGCCTTAATAGTAGATTTGCATTACATCTCTATGAAAGACAGGCTTAGTTGATGCTGGAAAAAAGAAGCGTGCACTCATTTCACACATACTGGACAGTTCTTCAAAAAATTTATGGCCGAAAAGTATTACTTCTCAAACAAAGGAGAATTCTGGAAAGGATCCATGTGCTAGGTAAAAACAGATAACCCTTCCTTTCAATTTCTTCCTCCAGGTAGTAAACGGAAGGTTACAATCCCCAATCTACCTGGTAGCTTCTTTCACCAACTATCCAATCCAAACAATGGCAAGTTAATGCTATTCACACTCTACTATTCTAGAAGTAAAGGTTATGGGAAACGAATTCCTTTTCCCTCATTCATGCAAACATCACTCTATGGCCTCCCATAGACTTTTACCAAGTACACACGCATTGTCAGGTTTTCACAGAGCTCAGACCCTTCTGCCGACAGACAGCCCCCCCCCCCTTGCGACTTACAGTTTCTTCTCAGAAGCCACGTCTGCCAACGATAAACCTTTCCCCCTTCCACCCAACTAGCTCACGCTGCTGCCACCGCTTCCTCTTTTATTAATCCGGCTCCCGTTTGCCTCGCCCGTCAGTCTGAATCCCTCCCTCGAGGGCAGGGCTTCACCTTTGCGCCCGTCTGCCTGTCCCCAAGCCCGCCTTTTCCGTAAGAAACGTAAGCACTATTTATCTGGTTACCAGTTTTTCCTGAACGAATCCTCCCCCCACCTGCCCTGCCAAGAGGCAGTGGAAGTAGAAAGAAAACGCATCCACTTAGACTTGTCCTCTTGACTTCAGAGGAAAGCCAGGGAAACTGAGAATGAATGACGGGACAACAATTACTCTAAAAGTATTCCAAAGAAAGTATTAACTGACATCGTTAAGTTACTGTCTGCATTGTTTTCCTGAATGGTTGCTCCTAGGTAGACTTGAAGTTTCAGTCAGCTTTTCAACTGGTATTCTCTAATAGATGTGGTGAGGCTTAAAGTTCTCTATAACTAAATAGACTTCCTATGTCTTAATTCCTCCCTTCCTTCGAGGAGTTCCCACGGTTCTCCCATACATTTTATTCTCACAACAGCTTGGGCAGAGAGAGAAACTAGCCCAAGCCACCTACTAAACTTCCACACAGTGTAAGCTTTTGACCTTGATTCTCCCAGACTGATTTGTTTACTAGAAACTATAGTCAGGGGACTGCACCTTAGGCAGCTTGTGGGCTATAAAAATGAAGTGCTCTATGTGTAGCTCACCTCGTGCTCAGTGACTTTCTTTCCACAAATTTTCTGCCAAGGGGCAAAGGAATGAGAGAATAAAATGGTATGGTAGTAGAAGGGACCACACCACTTTAAAAGTGCAAGGGAATATATACACCTATTTTAAAGATAAAATCCTAAAAACACTTTCCTGAGATGTAAGCACCACTTTGTAAAACTAAACTTACTTCAAAGTAGATGTGTTTGGGATTACACTTTAAGTAATCTTGACTACAGTCTAGGAAGGAACTGCTCTCAGGTGCATAGCAAAATATATACTATCTTAAATTAGAATAAAAAAATATTTCTTAAGCAATTATTTGAACAGGGGCTGGAGTTCAGTGTCAGATCATCTGCTTTGAATATAAAAGGTTCTAGGTTCAATCCTAAAATAAGAATCTTGAGAGCCACTGCCAGTCAGAATATTCTTATAACACTTCCAACAGCCACAATCCCTTAAGAGTTATGAGAACTGAACCTACTGATATCATTTTACCAAAGTGGCAGCAGCAACTCATGAATGACTGGAAGAGTCTGTAATAAACATCTGCCCCCACTTTGTGCTTAACATGTCCCACTACAGCAGCTGAGGAAAGCAGAACCAGGAGGCGGTGCAGTAAATGGTCATCAGCCTGTGTTCCTTTGTCACTGTCCCCAACATCTAGTATCCCAATGTCAGACTGCTTAGAGAAGACACTAACTCATCTCTCTCTGCTTCCAAAACTCTCAGACCACTAAGAAAATATTCTTAGATATACTTAAAAAGCTTTTATCATTACAACAATATTGTCTACCTAGCAGCTAATTATTAAGGTCATACACACAAATATATAAAAAACTGTTCTTGGGTTCAGTTTTCTTACCTATAAAGACGTGTCATATCTCTGTAAAGCATTTTGCACAGTAAGATGGATACATAAATAAGTACAGAAAGCAATCAGGATATTAAGGACATGTCTTTCAATGCACACAGTCACTGCAGGGATGAATGAAAACATGCAACTACATTAACATTTTCTTAGATATACTTAAAAAGCTTTTATCATTACAACAATATTGTCTACCTAGCAGCTAATTATTAAGGTCATACACACAAATATATAAAAAACTGTTCTTGGGTTCAGTTTTCTTACCTATAAAGACGTGTCATATCTCTGTAAAGCATTTTGCACAGTAAGATGGATACATAAATAAGTACAGAAAGCAATCAGGATATTAAGGACATGTCTTTCAATGCACACAGTCACTGCAGGGATGAATGAAAACATGCAACTACATTAACATTATTTAGGATTGTAGAGCCCTGCTCTGAAATCACATGGCCAAGAGATAATGCACTGTGATTCCCTTGACTGGAGCATTCAAGATGTGCAGTATGAACTGAAATGTGTCCTGCCAAACTAACTTTAGGAATAGCGGCTGCAATTTTTATGACCGCATTGTATTTGAAAACAACCCCTTGAAAACAAATTCCAGAGACTGACAGCATCAAAAAAGTACAGAAGCTAATGAATCTTTGCAATTTGCAACATATTTTTTCCTGCTTCAGGTACTGCTGCATTGTATACAGGAACTATTATTTTTAAAGACCAGTTAGAACTGTTGGAAACAATTTTTACTAGAAGAAAAATGCAGCTGTTTTCTAATACAAACTTTAAAAGATTAAAAACATTGAGATGCACTTCAAAACATACCCACAAGAATTTAAGTACTACTTGCGTGAAGAAACTAGACCACTAAACAAAGTTTTTTTGCCAAATATTATCCAGAATGCATAGAGTGTTTCCAGTGAATTTGAATGTGGATTTACAATACTACAAATAAAACACATACATCACTTCTGTGTAAGAAATTCTACAAACCCTAAACAAACACGTGCTTGTATTTTGTCACACATGGGGTGCGGTCAGATGGCGTGCTGGGAGCGGTTTAAATTGCTCCGGCCCTGATGCGGTCTTTTTTAACCTGGAAAATCACGATCACACTCACCTCCTTGCTCCGGATTGCTGCGCAACCACATTGCTCCCCGCCGTCCACACACGGGAGCGTGCGTCGCTGTTCTTGTATTTCTATATTTTTTCATTCTATACCTTTTATATTTCCCGGTAAAGTTTCTTATGAATTCTAGGCTTCTTTCTATTCAGGTATCTGCATATTATTGCTTTAATTTCTGTATCAGCTTTCTCCTAATGGTATTTAGAGATCTTCATTTTAACGGCACCAAATTTTTACCTAAAAGCATCCTCCTAATACTATTCAGGAGTTTTCATTCTAACACCACCAAATTGTTAACAATTTAAACATAAAATTTTCTATCAACCTACATGTACTTAAGCTTTAAACTTTACCCAGACCCATATATCCAAACACAAGTATCAGATGGCTTCCTATTCCACCTAAACCAAAGAAATTCCTATCATTTCATACCTTATACATACCAAAAAAAGAGAATTGTTTTGCCACCTACTACACATTGGCTTTGTTTTCTGTAACGGCTTCCTCCTTATGACCTTACTTAAATGTCTTATTTCTTTATACTCGTGGTATTGTACTTTTTTATTCTGTCCTTTCTGTTTTGTCAGTTCTGTCACCAATTTTCTAGGTCGTCTGTTAGTTTTCTTTGCAATTCGCCTGGCTCTGCTTTTAGCTTGCATGATCTTTTCTTCGCATAGTTGTTCTCGGATATTCCCTTTTTTCAATCCCATCCTTACCGCTTGTTTGCTAAACTTCTTAGATCCACACTTTTGCCTGTGGACATTCCTTTTTCTCTCTATAAATTTTACAGATATCTCTTGTATTTCCTTTTCTTGTATGAAGTCCTGGTCCCTCTCTGGGCTCTGCAGATACTGTTGATATTGTGTAATGTTCTCTTCATTTTCCTTCTCCAAATCAATGTTATTATATTTCTCAATGATATTTTTGCACGCTTCTTCACCTGCCTTTCGCACCTCTTCAAATAGGAACTTTTTGAATTGTTCCAAAGTCAGCTGCCCAACTTTTGTATTTTCAAAGTCAATCACTTCAATCTCCCCTGATAGTACTTCCTCATTCTTCCCTGCCGGCGCCATTTCCTATCTTTTGCTCCAATTCTTTCCTTAGCTGCTTTTACTCTTCCAAAGTTGAGAATATTCCTGGGGAGTCAAATATTTGTGGTCTTCATCAACATATAAGAAAATATACCCTCACTCGCCTTCTTGCCTTAGCTGTAAATAATTGTAAATCCAAAAGTTTAAAAGGGGCGATCACAGCTGTGCAAACATGGCGGACCATGCTGCTCCATTCTTCACTCCCGCGTCGAAACAAATCTGACACAACCCCCCAACTGCCATTTAGGGGTCATCCGATCAAGTTTCCTGCAACCAGCCTTTCTCTGGGAGATCTGGTGAAACCCCCAGCTGTCTCTAGGACCCAGGGGGCTCCAAAGAAGCAAAAAAGGATGGGGCCAGTTGAGAGCGTCTCGACTGTGCTCCCGTGCGCTGTACCGTTTCCCCGGAAACTGTTTAAACATTGTTTTTAATAATGCGGTGGCGGTATGTGCACACCGCCAACACTTTAAAAAAAATGGTGGGCGAAAAGTGGAAGCCTCAGGCAGCTTTCGAGCGGGGAGGGGGTTTAAACCAGAAGTGACTCAACACTGGAGGCGCAGGGGGAAAATGTGTCTGGAATCAAAGAATCAGGAAAACACCACTTGGGGACCTGGTATCAAAATACTCCGGGTTAAAGCTGTTTTGAGCCGGAAAGCGACGGCTGGGGACAGGAGGCAGATATTGACTGTGTGATCACGCAGATAAAATCCGTTTCTGAGGCGGGCCGAAAGCGGACTAAACGGCCCGTCTGAACAGACCCATGTATTCTATGGGAAGCTGCACTCAAACTAGGTTTCTTATTACATAAAACAGATAAATTAGTACACCACATAGAATTATGAGCACTGTCACGGTAGAGCCAGGGAGGCAGGCAGACAGGGGGAGACACAATACAAGTCCAAAGGTCAGCTGGGAGAGCAGTCAGCAGAGCATTAAACAAGTCCCAAAACACCAGACAAAGCCGTAGTCAAACGTTACCAGAGGTCAGAGTACAGGGAGCAAAGCCGAGGGCGTGGTCAGGTTCAAAGCTGGAAGTCAGGAGCCAGAGCAGTCCAAACACAAGCCGAGTCCAAAAGCCACAGAGTCAAACAGGAATCAAGGTGCAAAGCTTCTGGTTCTACGAACGAGGCTGCCAGCACAAATTGCTCATGGCCAGAGGCCCTACTAAATAGTGATCTGGCCCATTAACTCATTAGCACCTTTGTGCGAGGTCCTGGCTGCTGTTAAAACTCAGGGCTCAAGGATCTCCAACCTCTTGAACGTGCTTCTTTTCGTCGGCTAGCCAGCTCCTGACGTCTCTGATCCCTAAGCCTACTTACAGGTGGGGGAGATGCAGGTGGTGAGCTGCTTATGGCCTGCTCAATCCCAGGTGCAAACCGTCCTGTAGTTGACTCAGATTGCTGTGTATCCTCCTCAGTACTTACAGTAGGTGCAGATCCTGATGCTTCTTCAGCTCTTAAAGGCACTGAATCCTCCCCTCTTAGGCTGTCAGGAGCTGGCTCTGGGGCTGAGTCAAGGGCAGGCATGACAAGCACATGGAAAAATACAATTTCCTTTGCAGAAGTGATGTCTGTGCAAGAAGCCTGATTCATGAGGATCAATTCTAACACTTTCAATACAAGTATACCACCCTAAGTAGTTTAGGTTGTACTGTCCAAAGCTTCTCTGCTAGCCCTGAGGATAAATCTACACTCAGGCAATAGCAAATAACTTCACTAAGGAAATGTCTACGCTGGTACAAGCAATACCAGCAGCCAGTTTTTAATTTACTGAATTTATAATCCAAAATTATTTTCCTGTTGCTAAATTCTGCAAAATACCACTAACGTTTCAGCAGTACAGAGGTTCAGGTTGATGGCTAATGCCAAAATTCAAAAGAAAAAAAAAGATCCATCTATTTCTGACAACAGAAAGTTGGCTAGGGTCCACTGTTATGATTTAGAAGACACAAAAAACCATTAAAGATTACTACTCACAAAAAAATAACAGAATAACTTTAATAAGGTTTAAGTCCTGTTGTCCAACTATTTTAAACACACTGATAAACAATCCATCTTGGGGGGGGAAAGATGTATACAGGGACAGAAATGTTGGCAGCTTCTAATTCAGAGAACTTGGTCAGGTTTCATTTAATCATTTTTTTTGCCCAAAACCATCTTCAAGTATTCTTAAACAATAACAGTGCAATCTTATGGAGTTTACTCCAGCCTAAGCCTACTGAAATTAGTGGGCTTACACATTAATAGGATTACACTATGTTTGACTTTCAGAGTATTATACTTATGAATTCCATTGAAAGTGCAACATGAGTCTTTTGGGCCTCAGAAGTCCACAACTTTCTTATTTTCTCAGAGAGGTAGATATTACCATTTCCCCACTGACTGAAGCATCAGTTAATTTACCTACACAAAACCAATTTTTATTTCATGAGGCTTTTTTGATTATTATCCTTAATGCTTTTCAATTGTTATCTTTTATCCATTGTTCAATCCATTGTATGATCTGATCTAAATTCCGCTCCATATCTTCTGGAGTGTTGCTAGGCAACTGGTGCACAATTTCTTCTTTATAAGAGGACATTGCTTCTTCATAAATAGTCTGAAAAATCTCACACTGAATGTTGTCCTGAAGTTTTTTCCCTCTATATCCCCTAGGGGAAAAAAATAAGCAAGAATTAACAAAATTATATAAGAGAATTTTGGAAATATTTCAGTGTCACAGATCTAGCAAAAAAGAACAAGCAGCAGTTGCTGGGCATGGCTGGCAACATCAGCTGAACACTTCTGCAGACCATAATCAGTAACCAGCAAGTTTTAATTAAATACTTAGATATTCTCAACAAAGAATAAGTCAAGTCAGTATAATAAGTCAGTACAACCTTAAGGTAGTAGTTCAGGGGCTGATTTGGTTTATATCAATAGATGCAAGGAATACATTAATTGGACACTGTACAGATGTAAGTAGTGTCAGGAAAATGAGCACACATCTGATCAAGAAAAGAATAACAGTATAATTCAACGACATGATTTACTTTTTTTATATATAATTTTTATTGCTTTTATACACTACACAATTACAGGGAAGGGGAATGGATCACTAAGACTAAGAGATGATTTGAGAATACCACCAGGACTATCACCTAACTAGTGCTATGGTTGGATTTAGGAATCTATGCTCTGCACTTTAATTGTCTGCACTTTAATTGTTCCGGCACTTTTGAAAATGGATACTGATTGTCTATGGATGATTTATGTATGTTTTAATTGTATATATATGCATTTTATGTAAGCCGCCCTGAGCCTGCCTTGGCGAGAAGGGCGGGATATTCGATGACGACGATGATTATGATGAGGAGATTGGATGTATACCCTGCCCTTCACTACCCAAAGGTGTCTCAGAGTGGCTTACAAACTCCTTTCCCTTCCCCTCCCCACAACAGACACCCTGTGAGGTAGGTGGGGCTGAGAGCGCTCTTGACAGAAACTGCTCTTTTTTCAAGAACAGAAAGAAGCTATACTAAGGCAAGGATCATATTTCAAAAGTTACAGTCTTCTCTATCGTTCTTACAAAACCTTATAGTAAAATATAAGCTCTGTGATCAATGTCTTAATTCCTTAATAAAGCTGACTTGAGCCATTAATGCTAATCTACAGGTAGTTTATAGTCCATTGTGTTTTGTTGTTGTTCTTATTTTTCACATTTACTTTTCTTGTATTTCAGTTGAACTTTAAGTAATTTAGGGGCAGCCTCTCTTTTTCCCGAGTCCAAAACCTCAGAGGTACTACCAGAACTGCTTGAGGTGTCTTCTGATTCACATTCGCTTTTCTCTTCTTCTTGGATATTGTCCTTATTTTTCCATTCATCGGGCTTTGTTGTTGTTCCAAAAAGTCTTTAGCTTTCTGGGCAGAGTCAATCCTGATCTTCTTATCATTATAATTAAAAAGAAGTCCTTCTGGGAATATCCATCTGTAGGGGGTTGAGTTATTTTGTAAGATGGAAGTTAAGTCTTTGTATTGTCGTCTTCATTTTCGCACCTGAAATAGAATATCTTTTAAGATTCTTGCTTCTTGGTCTTTAACTTTCAGAGTTTTCCCAGATGTTGCTTTCGAGACTGCGTCTCTAGTAGATCTTTTGGAAAATTTAACAAATATTTTACCAGGTAGCTTATTTTTCTTAATAAAGTCCGGTTAAGTTCGATAGGCCAAGTCCATATCATTTTGTAATAGATCATGTTTAAGCTCCATCACTGGAGCTAATGCTTGACTTAATAGTTCTTTTAAATTTTCCCCTTTCTGTTCTGGGATACCCTGGAAGTGTAGGACATACATTGATCTCTCCATTTGTAGTTGCAACAATTGTCCTTTATCAGAAATTCACTCTTCTTCCACTTCTTTCAGCTTCTGTTTAATATCTTTTGGTTTTGCCTCCACTTTCTTAAGGGCTATATCGGTCTTATCCGCTCTTTTGTCAATTCCCATCAGTTGCTTTTGAACACCATCGAGTTTGTTGTTGATGTTAGACATCTGCTCCAGTAGAGGGCGCAGTGCCATTACAAGCATGTTGGAGAAATCAGTAGCTGTTTCCGGCGTTCGGGTAGGAGTTGTTGGTTGGGTAGTTCCTGTAGGAGGTTTCTTCTTTGGTGCCATTCTTCTTCCTCTACCGGACATTGTTTATACAGGGAAAAATTTTTTAGTTTAAAGTAAAAGTTCTTCGATTTACATGCACTTTGGACTATTTTGCACCTTCCAGTTTTGTTTAGTCTCTCTCAGTCAGTATCGTTTTTCCCTCTTGGCTTGTCGCTTGGGAACCATTAAGTTTCAGGAGGGGGGGGATCCCCCACTCCTCCCCTCCTACTCGTCTCGTAGATAGTTCTGTTCGTTTTAACTTGGCTCAGCCGCTTAGAGGGGGACTACTTAACTCACAGTTTATCGCTTTTGAAGTGTAGTAAGAACGTGTTTACGCTTGCTCTTGCCCGCTCCATCTGGCAGTCAGCTCTAGATGCAATAACGGCTTCGTGGCGGCAGGACCTCTCAGGGTAAGGGGAGCCTCAATTCCTTGGCTGTCACCTTGGAAGAGGCACCCCTCCGCACCCCAGGCAAAGAGCCCCCTGCAAGGGCTCCAGGGAGGCTCGGAATCATCCAAGACCCCTCCTGTCCGCCGTGACTCAGCGCATCCTCATCTGAGCTCGATGGGACGCATCCAACCTGCAAGACGCTAAAACCGGAAGTCAAGGACATGATTTACTGATTAACAGCCAACAGCCAACAATGTCCATGCAGAGTCTGTAATCATTCTTTCTAATATATCGTTGTCATGATTGAAAGCAATAAAATGGGTTAACAATTAACATAGTATACACATAAAGATAGTGGATTTATCTGAGAATATACAAATACAGGTAATCGTATAAGATGCTGGAGTTCATAACAATGTGAGAGGAGGAGGAGGAGAAGAGGAGGAGGAAGAGGAAATTGGATTTATACCCCGCCCTTCACTACCCAAAGGCGTCTCAGAGTGGCTTACAATCTTCTTTCCCTTCCCCTCCCCACAAGAGAAACCTGTGAGGTAGGTGGGGCTGAGAGAACTGCTCTTTCGAGAACTGCTCTTTCAAGAAAAGCTCTGACAGAACTATGGCTTGCCCAAGGTCATCCAGCAGCTGCAAGTGGAGGAGTGAGGAATAAAACCAGTTCGTCCAGATTAGAGTCCACGCACTTAACCACTACACCAAACTGACAGCTAGGCAATGGTAGAGAAAATTTAGATATGAAGTAGTCTTTTAAAAACTCATAAGAAGTCTGCATTAAAAATAGCTTTTTTAATATTGAAGATCCTCACCTTGTGTACCTAGGGTAAGCTGATTCATGAAAAACATTTATGTAGAATTAACCTGTTAGCATTTTTATTTGCTTTATAGTTAATCAATGTTAAATGTATTACAAGTGTGCCTATAACAATGCTGTGCTATACCTGAGATAATCTAGAATCATTGTCACGATGCACCTTCTACCAGTACGTTAATGATCAGGTATTTGGAATCTGAATAGAAGTCTAGAACTTCTTAAGAGCAATGCTTTATACCGGTTAATTTGACAGAAGACCACTGTCTATAACATAAGAAACCACTTCTGACAGTCTTTAAAAATTTAATCACAGCACAGAATTTCATTTACTGCACTAATTTACCTGCTTTCCAGTCTGTCATACAGGAAAGAGTTTTCAGTGCGAAGCACAAATACTATATTAAACCAGCGTTCAGGAAAGAAATCACAGCTGTGATAATCAACTATAACGCCACCATCAATCATCTTGTCTTCCAGTTCATCAATTACCTAAAGGGGAAAAATCAGATGAAAAAATTCTAAAAAACAGTTTTCTTGCAACTAAAATAAAACCCACAACTATGCTTAACTTTGGACATGAACTCACCCGATCTTCATCCAGCACTGGGCATTCATATTCTTCATCATAACCTTCATATAATTGACCTGCATAAAAAAGAAGAAAACAGAGACTATCATTATGAAATCACTAAATATAGCCTTGTATCAAAAACTTGTTCAGATGCAATATGCTTGCAACTCTCCAAGCCAGGTCTATGCATTTTTACTCAAAAGTGAGCCCCACTTTAGTTAAATAGGACTAACTCCAACACAAGTGTATATACGATTTTAACAGATTTTGTTTCATGAATTAGCATCAAAGAAAACAGAGGTACCTTTTCAATAAGCAGTGGTTTACCTCTACAGTAACTTTAGCAGTAGAGTACTTTACATTTTTAACATTCATATGCTACGATGAGGATTAAACTACTACTGTTTACTTTTATTTTACTCCAAGCCAAGGAAGTGGTAGTGGCTGCCTTTGAAACGGACAGAAAACCTACTCTGCAGACTTCCTATAACATTTTTCTCAGGTATCCCACATGCAAATCATCAGTGGTCAAGAATGGCCATTGCACCGATGTAGAAATCTGCTTAAGGGTAAGTAAATATGGTTGAAGTTGCTATCCTATGTATGTATACTTCGGAGTAATAAAATGGGACTTACTTCTGAGAAAAACAGGCACAAAATAGGAGCACTACTATAGGTACTTGTTTCTTTAATATTGGACTCCCTTACCTCATACTTGCAGCTGGATCCAGCCTTCAGCAGAGGAGGATCCAGGTATGAATTAATGACCAAAGTACATACACACAATAAGAAATGGTGGGATGGGAAATATTCTACTGTTATGCTTTTCTGCAAAAAAAGTTTTAATTCCTAAGAATGTGTTACTAAATCATCACCATTATTAATATTATATAATACATAATTGATTTTATATAATATATAATTATTAATATAATTCCTATTAAAATAACAATAAAACAGGCAGTTTAAACTGGTAATTACCTTTTTTCAGGTAACATACATTTGATGTACATGTGTGATCAGACACAGACACAACATTTCAACCATATTAAAGGTAAAGGTTTCCCTTGCTCGAAAGCCAGTCGAATCCAACTCTAGGGGGCAGTGCTCATCTCCATTTCCAAGCTGAAAAGTCAGCACTGTCCAAAGACATTTCTATGGTCATGTGGCCGGCATGACTAAATGCCGAGGGCAGAAAAGAGTAGTCCAGCCTTCTTACACATGTATGCATCATATTTGCAAGTCTTTTTGTTGTTGTTCAGTCGCAGTCGAGTCCGACTCTTCGCGACCCCATGGATCAGATCCCGCCAGGCCCTCCTGTCTTCCGCTGTCCTCTGAAGTTTGCTCAGTTTCATGTTCGTTGCCTCGATGACACTGTCCAACCATCTCATCCTTTGCCGTCCCCGTCTTCTTTGACCTTCAATCTTTCCCAGCATCAGGGTCTTCTCCAGTGAGTGCTCCCTTCTCATTTGGTGGCCAAAGTATTTGAGCTTCAGTTTCATTATCTGGCCTTCCAGGGAACAGTCAGGGTTGATTTCTTTGAGGATTGACTGATTTGATCTCCTTGCAGTCCAAGGAACTTCTTGCAGTCCAAGGTACTCTCAAGAGTCTTCTCCAGCACCATAGTGCAAAAGAATCTATTCTTCGGCGCTCAGCCTTCCTTATAGTCCAACTCTCGCAGCCATACATGACTACTGGGAATACCATTGCTTGGACCATGCGTATTTTTGTTGGAAGACTGATGTCTCTACTTTTTATCATGCTGTTTAGGTTCGCCATCGCTTTCCTCCCAAGTAGCAGGCGTCTTTTAATTTCATGGCTGCAGTCACAGTCTGCGGTGATTTGGGATCCCAGGAACGTGAAGTCTGTCACTACTTCCACGACTTCCTCTTCTATT